CCCTCAACACGGAGCCCCCCTGGCGCCGCAGCTCAGCAGCGGGCCCACTACAGGACCCCACCCCGCCCAAACGCGCCAGGCCAGGGCGGCCGCGCAGCGGCCCCATGGCCGCGTTCCCCTCAGTCCGCGCCGCCGCCGCTGTGCCGCACCGAGGCCTGCCGCAGCTGCCGCTGAGTCAGCAGCTGCTGCTCCTTCAGCTGCGCCAGCTCGAGCTTGGTGGCGACGAGCTCCTGCGGGAAAAAGTACGAAAACGGATAGAAAGCGACGACATAGGGTGGGAAAATGGATATGGAGCAAAGCTAATGGGTGTGAAGCAAGGTATGATGTCGCCATGTGGCGAATGGGACATGGATGGCTGCAGGGGAAGGGGTGCACGCTGGGCCGCCATAGAGCGGGCCCTGGGGGGGGCGAGGAAGGAGGGGGGAGCAGCCGAGCCCCCCACACAAGGACCAGGGGACTCCGCCCCAGAGGCGCAGGCCGAGCGCGCTGCGGCCCACGCGCCCAGGTCGTGCCCCAGGGCGGGCCGACACGCCCCAAAACCCAAAACACCGAAGCCTGTTCATTGTCACACACCACCGCCACGCGTCGAGGCGGGGCGAGCTGATCGAAAGTGAATCGAAAACGAGGGAGACCGACGCGCCTGCATGAGGAACTCGTTTTCAGAGGTGGTCTCCCTGGCAGCTGCCTCGAAGCCGCCGGCGCTGCCCTTAGCCGCCTTGAGCGCCTGCACGTCGCGCTGCAGCTCCACCACCTGCCGCAGCGTGCGGCGCAGCTGCGGGGCGCGGCGGGCGGGGCGGGGAGGGGAGAGGGGGGTCGATGGGTCGGCCGGCGGCGGGGCCCGAGAACTCGTTTTGGGGGCAGGTGGGATGGGATGGGGGGTGAGCAGGCGTGGAGCGCGCATTCAGCTGTGCTGGCCAAGCGCCGGCCGCCAGGGCCGTGCCGTGCGGGGCCGCGGCAGCTGCGAGGCCGGGAAGTTTCCGCCTGCCGTTTTCTGCCCACCCCGTAAACGCATGCACGCACACGCACGCACACGCACGCACACACGCATGACAATCACACACCGCAGTGCGCGCATGCAAGCAGGCGCACCCCCCCCCACCTGCTGTTGCAGGTAGTCCACCTCGTCAGCCTGCCCCTTGCTGGATTCCAGCTCCTGCCGCGCCTCGTCCAGCTGCCGCCGCAGCTGCTCGGCAGCCGCCGCCTCGCCCGCCAGCCGCGACGCGTCCGCGCGCGCCGCCCGCAGCTCAGACTACGAGCGGCGGGGCGGGTTGGGGCGGGAGGGCGGGCGGACGCGGGTTTGGGAGCGGAAGCGTTCACCCTGGTCGCAGGGCGTGTGGCAAGGTGCTCGCACAAGACGACGCATGGTGCTCACCGCCTGCGGTCCTCAAGCGTTCACCGTGGCGTGGACTATGGCAGCAGCAGCAGCAGCAGCAGCAGCAGCAGCAGCAGCAGCAGCAGCAGCAGCGGCGGCAGCAGCAGCAGCAGCAGCAGCGGAAGCAGCAGCAGCAGCTGCTGACCCCCACCTCGAGCTTCTCTCTTTCGCGCGATGACAGCCCCTCCGCCTTTGCCGCCCTGGCCCGAGCGTCACGCGCCTCCGCCACCTCAGCCCTCAGGGCCGCCAGCTCAGCGGCCAGGCGGGCCTCCCTGGGGGTGGGAAGGGGGATGGCGGGGAGTGCAAAGGGGCAGTCTAGCTAGGTTGAGGCGCAGGCGAGTTTGAATGCAGGGAGTGTGGTGTCGGGGGGCAGGGCGGGGGGCGTGCAGGCGCTGCGTCGGGAACGGTGCTGTGAAAGTAGATTGCCAGGGGTGGTGTGCTGGCTGAATGATGGCAGCCCCACGCCCAGCTTCCATGAGCCACCACCGCCGCCTGCGCCCCGGCGAGCCCCGCGCCCATCGGCAGCTGCGGGGCGGAGCGCCAGCCGCCGGCCAGCGGCCCGCAGGCGCCCACAGGCAGGCAGCCCTTGTCACCGTTAACACGCGCGCCAGCGAGCGCACAACACAGCCGCACGCGACGCCTCCAGGGGCGCCGCGCAGCGAGCACGCGCCCACGCACCTGGACCCCGCGCTGTCCGCGCCGCTGCGCGCCGCCTTGGCGTCCGCCTCGGCCGCCTCCGCCGCCTCGGCGAGCTCCTCCGCGCGCCGCTCCGCGGCCGCGGCCCGCGCGTCGGCGGCCCTGGCGGCGGCGTCGGCGCGGGCCTGCGCCTCGCGGCTGGCGCCGCGCGCGGTGTCTAGGTCGGCGGTCAGGGCGCGCATCTGCTTGGCCTGGCAAGTTTGATGTTGGGTTGCAGGTGTTTTGGGGGTGGACTCAGCATGCAGTGGGCTTTGGGTCTTGATTCAGGGGCACTGCAGCGGTGGTGAGGGACATGTAAATGCAGGCACAGAAAACCTGTCTTCGCAGTTTTCCCAAGTGAAGCCGGCCGTAATTTGCCCACACCACCAGCAAGCAGCGGCAGGGAGGCCCCACGGCGTGGCCCGGGCTAGGGCCGATTCCCAACACGGCTCCCTATCGCCCGCGCCAATACGCGCGCTTGACACGCAGATCCATGTCAACGCACTCCCCTCTCACGAGTGCGTGCGCGCGTGTGCTAGCATATTCACGCGCATGCGCACACGCATAAACGAAGCACACTTGCACACTTGCACACACACACACACACACACACACACACAAACAAAGAAAATACACACCGACACATAACAACACACCGACATACAGAGAAACCACACACGCACACGCACCAACAGAACACACGTGCACACACACAAGTACACGCACACATGCACACCTGCGCCTCCAGCTTTGCAGCCTGCTCCGCGATTTGCCGCTCCTGCTGGTGCAGCTGAATCTCCAGCCTGTGCGCAGCTACCGGCGACTCGCCGGCCCCCTGCTGGCCGTGAGAGCCCGTTCGATCCTCCGAATCCCGCCGCGCCTGCCCGCCTGCCGCCGCCGCCGCGGCCCTGGGGGATAGCTGCTGGAACGGGCCCGCGCCGGCGGCGGTCGCGCGCGGGGAGGGGTGCGCGGCGTCGCGCGCGCGGCGCAGGTCGTGGAAGTGCTGCTGAGTCAGCGCCGCCATGGTGCGCTTCATTACCGCCAGCTCGTCCTCGAGCGACACCTGGCGGGTGACGGCGGGTGATGGTGAGTGAAACGAGCGCACGAGCCACGGGTCACGAGCGCTACTGGTGCTGCGCGACTGCGGCGGCCACGCTGCCAGCCCACCACTCAAGCGACTGCCCACGACACAGCACAGACGCCTCTCGGCCCTGTGCGCCGCTAGGCGCGCACACCAACACGCTCGCCCCCGGCGCGGCTGCGGAGGCGTCGCCCTCTTTTATCGTCGGCGGCGGCGGCGGCAGCTGCTGCGCACCTTCTCGGAGTACAGCTCCTCCACCGCCTCGCAGAGCGCCCTTGACGTGACGATCCGCGAGTGATCCCCCGCCGCGGCCTGCTTGGGAAGGGCGTTGGCGTCGGCCCATGGGTCGGCATCCCGCAGCAGAGAGTGATCAGGTGCCACCCCGCCCCAAGTCATGTACAAGGTGGCCCGTTGAAGCATGAGCTGCCTGTGGCCACCGCCGAGGCCCACCAGTCAGCTGCATGCACCACCAGCATCGCAGAGGGCCCCCCCCCGCCACGGGACCTCCGCCTTTGGCTTACACGCAGGGATAGGCCCGCGGCATTGCTGGCAATGCAGCAAACGCCACACAGAAGGTCCCGCAGCGCGCCCAGCTTGCAATTGCATCCCTTTCCCACCTGTTCAGCTGCCGTCCGAGAGTAGCGCTGCACGACCTCTTCCAACACGAGCGCCTCCCCCCCGCCCCCCAGGC